TTACTCGGTTTTGTTCTGTTCAGGCCCCTCCATAACTATTATCCCCCCACCGTCGTGTAACTTGGCCAGTCGACGCATTTCTCCATCCCAACAGACTATCCTATTACTCGGTTTTGTTCTGTTCAGGCCCCTCCATAACTATTATCCCCCCACCGTCGTGTAACTTGGCCAGTCGACGCATTTCTCCATCCCAACAGACTATCCTATTACTCGGTTTTGTTCTGTTCAGGCCCCTCCATAACTATTATCCCCCCACCGTCGTGTAACTTGGCCAGTCGACGCATTTCTCCATCCCAACAGACTATCCTATTACTCGGTTTTGTTCTGTTCAGGCCCCTCCATAACTATTATCCCCCCACCGTCGTGTAACTTGGCCAGTCGACGCATTTCTCCATCCCAACAGACTATCCTATTACTCGGTTTTGTTCTGTTCAGGCCCCTCCATAACTATTATCCCCCCACCGTCGTGTAACTTGGCCAGTCGACGCATTTCTCCATCCCAACAGACTATCCTATTACTCGGTTTTGTTCTGTTCAGGCCCCTCCATAACTATTATCCCCCCACCGTCGTGTAACTTGGCCAGTCGACGCATTTCTCCATCCCAACAGACTATCCTATTACTCGGTTTTGTTCTGTTCAGGCCCCTCCATAACTATTATCCCCCCACCGTCGTGTAACTTGGCCAGTCGACGCATTTCTCCATCCCAACAGACTATCCTATTACTCGGTTTTGTTCTGTTCAGGCCCCTCCATAACTATTATCCCCCCACCGTCGTGTAACTTGGCCAGTCGACGCATTTCTCCATCCCAACAGACTATCCTATTACTCGGTTTTGTTCTGTTCAGGCCCCTCCATAACTATTATCCCCCCACCGTCGTGTAACTTGGCCAGTCGACGCATTTCTCCATCCCAACAGACTATCCTATTACTCGGTTTTGTTCTGTTCAGGCCCCTCCATAACTATTATCCCCCCACCGTCGTGTAACTTGGCCAGTCGACGCATTTCTCCATCCCAACAGACTATCCTATTACTCGGTTTTGTTCTGTTCAGGCCCCTCCATAACTATTATCCCCCCACCGTCGTGTAACTTGGCCAGTCGACGCATTTCTCCATCCCAACAGACTATCCTATTACTCGGTTTTGTTCTGTTCAGGCCCCTCCATAACTATTATCCCCCCACCGTCGTGTAACTTGGCCAGTCGACGCATTTCTCCATCCCAACAGACTATCCTATTACTCGGTTTTGTTCTGTTCAGGCCCCTCCATAACTATTATCCCCCCACCGTCGTGTAACTTGGCCAGTCGACGCATTTCTCCATCCCAACAGACTATCCTATTACTCGGTTTTGTTCTGTTCAGGCCCCTCCATAACTATTATCCCCCCACCGTCGTGTAACTTGGCCAGTCGACGCATTTCTCCATCCCAACAGACTATCCTATTACTCGGTTTTGTTCTGTTCAGGCCCCTCCATAACTATTATCCCCCCACCGTCGTGTAACTTGGCCAGTCGACGCATTTCTCCATCCCAACAGACTATCCTATTACTCGGTTTTGTTCTGTTCAGGCCCCTCCATAACTATTATCCCCCCACCGTCGTGTAACTTGGCCAGTCGACGCATTTCTCCATCCCAACAGACTATCCTATTACTCGGTTTTGTTCTGTTCAGGCCCCTCCATAACTATTATCCCCCCACCGTCGTGTAACTTGGCCAGTCGACGCATTTCTCCATCCCAACAGACTATCCTATTACTCGGTTTTGTTCTGTTCAGGCCCCTCCATAACTATTATCCCCCCACCGTCGTGTAACTTGGCCAGTCGACGCATTTCTCCATCCCAACAGACTATCCTATTACTCGGTTTTGTTCTGTTCAGGCCCCTCCATAACTATTATCCCCCCACCGTCGTGTAACTTGGCCAGTCGACGCATTTCTCCATCCCAACAGACTATCCTATTACTCGGTTTTGTTCTGTTCAGGCCCCTCCATAACTATTATCCCCCCACCGTCGTGTAACTTGGCCAGTCGACGCATTTCTCCATCCCAACAGACTATCCTATTACTCGGTTTTGTTCTGTGAGGCACATACCTTGCTCTTGTCGGAACCATGGACGAACTCACTGCCCAGACCAGTCGCATCACCATGGACTCTTCCCTGTCCACGCAGAAGATCACACTTCCCTTCGCGCCATCCATGCTCAACTACATAGACAAGATCTACAGCTCGTTGACGTCTATGAACCAGCCTAACTTCTTGACTGATGTCCAGCGTGAACCAACGGGCCAGGGGTCAACCACCAAGGAACACCCAGCCCCACTAGCGACCCTGGCTGCCTTCTACGAGTATCTGGCAAGTCCAGAGGCCTCTGCAATGCGAGCTGCTACCCAGATGGACCTCTCGGCGCCCATTACGGACTATTTCATCTCCACTAGTCACAATACGTACTTGACTGGAAACCAGCTGTACAGTGAATCGAAAGCAAGTGCTTATACAAATGTATGTTCTTTCCGACATCAACATCCACTAGTGGAATTATCTTCGCTGTTGAAGGGTGGGGTGCAGTATGACTGGTTCTTCATCGTAATTTGAATGCGCTGAGAGCAGAAGATGCTGGAACAAGATCAATAAGGTCTCATGTTGTGCCCAACTCTCCCATCGATGACTCTTCTAGATCCCGATGATTTGTGATAGCAACGGCTGATTTTCTCAGGTCCTACTTAGTGGGTGTAGATCTGTCGAGATTGATGTTTGGGATGGAAAAGCAGAGGGTGAAAGCTCCCAAGAAACTGGCGACAGCAGTGCCACTAGTGGCAGCAACCCGAGCTCCGACGATGAGAAGATCAGTTCCTGTAAACCCCGTCGCGGATCCAAGAGGGAAAAGTTGAAGAAGATGACTGAGAACCACCGTCATCTGCGCGCCCTGTCCCAGGAGGTTGGCAAACTAGAAGGCTTCCTGGGGCATCACAAGCCGTCCACGAGCAGTGGAAGCTCTGGCGAAAGCAAGGCGTCTGGTAGCGCGATCCCGGTTCCTGGTAAACCAGAGCCGCGAGTGTTGCATGGTCACACGCTTACTAGAGAGACAAGCTTTCGCGAAGTCTGCTATGCGATCCGGGACAGCGCATTTGTTGCAAGCGACCTTCCAGTCATTGTTAGCTTGGAAGTACATGCCTGCCTGGAACAGCAGCAGACAATGGTCGAGATCATGGAAGAAGCATGGAAGGGGATGTTGGTCGAGGTGACGCCTGAACTCGAAGCTGGCACGGTCCCGCCGCCGCCTCTTAAGGATCTGAAGAGGAAGATCCTGATTAAGGTGAAGCACGTCGAATCTGTAGACGAAGGTGGAGACCGTGAAGCAAAGGAGAAGGCAGTTTATACCCAGCACATGGAGGCTTTGAAGCAACAGAAAAGTCCCACGAATCCGGGTGAGGCTTCCAAGACTCCCGAAACTCCGGAATCCCCCACTGCAGCTCCACACAAGCCCTCCAAGATCCTGCAGGCGCTCAGTAAACTGGCCGTATTCACCAAGGGATTCCACTTTAACAATTTCGCACAGCCAGGTATGGTGTAGTTCACCCAGATGCATATCACCCAGTAATGTACTGCATCACCGACTGACATACAACAGAGGCCAAGGTTCCCAGTCATGTGTTCTCATTGTCCGAGAAAGCCGTTCGAGAAGCACATGCCACCGACGGCGACGCGTTGTTCGAGCACAACCGGCACTTCTTCATGCGCGTCTATCCCAATGGCTTGCGAGTCGACTCCTCCAACATGGACCCGACCTTCTTCTGGCGGCGTGGTGCCCAGATGGTTGCTCTGAACTGGCAAAACTTTGACAAAGCGATGATGCTCAATTCAGGAATGTTCGCAGGGGAGCAAGGTTGGGTGCTTAAGCCTCCAGGATATCGCGGCTCCGATGCACAGCCTGGAATTATCGAACCTCGCCGACTGGATCTGACTATTGAGTTCCTGGCTGGCCAGAACATCCCACTGCCCGCCGGCCACACCAACGAAAACAAATTCTACCCCTTCGTGACTTGTCTCCTGCACGTGGAGACACCGGACGACAGCTTCGCCGCATCTGAAGACGACACCGAATCCGAAAAGACCGGTTACAAACATTGCACGAAGAGCGTTACCGGCGTGAATCCCGATTTCGGCAGCCAGAAGATGGAGTTTGCGACCGTCTCGGGCTTCCTCGATGAACTGACATTTGTTCGGTGAGTTACTTTTCTATATCCCAAACTAGCTGTATGTGCACTTGCTGAATGCAAACAGATTCAAAATCAAGGACAACGAATGGATGCACAACGCGCTGGCCGCATGGGCGTGCATTCGACTGGATCGACTCCAAGAGGGTTACCGGATCATTCACCTGAATGACAGTACTGGAGCACCTACAGAGGGCGCTCTCCTGGTACACATCACCAAGAAATACAGCTGAGAGCACTACCTACGAGCACATTCAAAGAGAAGACCATTTTGTTTACATTATATTTGAGAGAGTTAACAGTGTTTAACAACATATAGCCAGAGTTAAAGGCAACATCTTTTCTTTCTGTGTATTTAGATTCTCAAGACGAGACAAGACTTTACTTTTAGAATGAAATCATATTCCATTTGAGATGGGGCCGTTAGGTTGTATTATTATTTACTTGAAAAACCCTTATTGCAATACAAATGACTCCGTAGAATCTAGTAGATAACAAGAGTATCCAGCAATTCCCTACAGTCCAAAATAATCCGACACTCAGACCCCTGACACCCGACATACGCCCAACCTTAGATCCCCCCAAGGCCAAGAAAACCCGGGGTAAACTAGAAACCCCCCACCCAACCCGAAATAGGCAACTCTACGCGCTGCCAATGAATGTTTTTTACCCCGCGCATTCATTGCGGTTCCTGTTCCCGGTCACCTTCATTACACATGAGCTTATTTCCAAAATCTAGTGCCAAGGTGCTACTGTATGTACAAGTCTCTATTTAGCAAGTTTATTGTCTAGATATAATTAGAACTTGTAAATAATACACAAAAGAACCAAATGAACTAGAAAATTCTTGTTTCGTATTATTACAGACATTATCTTCCTCTCTCCCACACTTCACTCACCCTCAACTTCTCTCTTACTCTACTCCACGGGAGACCATTGCAGCACCAACTCTCGCTTAAGACCGTCACATATCTCAGTCACGAGTAGGCTTGCTTGGACCTGTACGAACCGAGACCAGACACAATTTGTGGCATATTTATGACTCAGTCAATTCAGCACTGCCCCGACAAAATACTCACTCAAATACACACCATCCGACGACCTGACCACCTGCGGCATAGATCATGCTAAACGCCCGCGCATTCACGTTGCGGACACGTGGACCAACCCAAGCAATAGCCCCTGGACGCAACCTTCGCCGTTGTGAATGATTCCAACTTTGGTTCCAAGACGGCCGCACCTTTCTATACAGAACCAAATATCGTTAAACATAAAATGGTCGCAAGTCAGAGATCTCACACGGATTATACTGTTGGATGGATATGCGCGCTGCCAGTGGAGATGGCGGCATCTAAAGCGATGTTAGAGACGATACATCCACGTCTCTCTCAGTCCCCAAACGATCACAACGTCTATACTTTGGGAGAACTATATGGTCACAATATAGTGATTTCCTGTCTGCCGCTCGGCATTTATGGTATCTGCTCTGCGACACTTGTTGCAACCCACATGCTCCACACATTCCCTTCACTCCGGTTCACCCTTTTAGTAGGTATTGGGGGCGGGGTACCGAGCGACAGGCATCCAGATATCAGACTTGGTGATGTGGTAGTTAGCAAGCCAACGGGTACCTTTGGCGGAGTCGTGCAGTATGATAACGGTAAAGCTGTCAGTGGCAGTCGGTTTCAGCGCACCGGGACTCTGAACAGACCGCCCTCCATTCTACTAGCAGCGATCTCGCGTCTAGAAGCGGACTATATGGTCGGCGATGCCCATATTCCGCTCCATCTGGAAAAAATTATGGCCCGGTTTACCGGAAGTACCAGACCCTCTTATCCAGGTTCGGAGTATGATGTTCTTTTCGAACCAGGTTATCAACATATGGGGGATCCAGACGAAGCATGCCTTAATTGCAGCAGAGCACACATGGTTCCGCGTCCACCACGCCCATCAAACACTCCTCGGATTCACTACGGCTTGATTGCCTCGGGAAATCAAGTAATCAAAGACGGCTTGATGAGAGACCGTGTCGTTAGCGACCTCGGTGGTGACATTCTGTGCTTCGAGATGGAAGCGGCAGGACTTATAGACGATTTCAGGTGCTTGGTAATACGCGGTATCTGCGACTATGCAGATTCGCATAAGAACAGACTGTGGCAGCCCTATGCAGCAGGAGTAGCAGCTGCATATGCAAAAGAGCTACTATCCATTATTCCTGTTGTCCAAATACAGACGAGTCCAAAAGCGTACAACGGGAGAGTTTATTGACCCTTTATCCCACATCCTTATATCAATCGATTGGCTAATCCGACATTAGAATTCAGAGTGGGAGCCTGGGCGAGCTAGGCTTAGAAGATATCCTGAAGCTTCCCAGGTTTGAGACAACGCTGTCACAACATACTATTTTGCAGCTAGGGGAAGTTGGACTTATTCATCGAGCACAATTTCTTGCTCTAGCAGGACCGTGGTATGCGTCAATAATTTGCATAACCTGTGAGCTATTGGAACTCGACTTTGATTACAAAGATGTCCTATGGGTTTGTTGTCAATGTAGGCATGGACCATACAGACTTAGCTTTTGTGACAATTGTGTGCAGTGTGGTCATGCGTTATGTTCTCCCTAGGCACTCACTTTGCCAGACGCGGAAACTTTCCAATAAGTTACACCAACCGTGTATCACTCGGTGCGGACTTCCAAGTATGGTACAAGAAAGATATGTCCCTTATACCATGATCATTTCATGAAATGATATCGTAAATATATATATATACTAGTGATGAACTTGTACCTCGGCACTAGGGTTTGACAATAAGCTTTGTTTTTCCGGGGGTGAAACGGGTTTCGACACAGACTGTATGTCATATAAGGAGATACGGTATATGCACATTAGGACCTGTATTGATAGATCAGTGATAGTTGCCCTTTCTCTCTCTCTTTCTCTCTCTCTCTCTGTGTGTCTGTATGTGTGTATCATATTTCCCATTTATATTTATTACCCTCCTGCTCGAAATTACAGACCACTTCGATTCCCATATAATTTCATTTGCGAAACCAATAGCTTCGGAGTCTTTTAAAATGTGAGAAGCTTTGGAAATTAATAATTAAAGCATCCCAGTCTGTAAGCTAGGTTGATTATATGCCCAGCCATCATGTGATATATAAATAATATCTTTCTAGGCGTGCCTCATTAGTTGAAGTCCGAGCTGTATAGACTGGGCTTCTCAATGAGATGAGATTGAACAGTGCCTGGGGTTATACTCCGCGGTCGACCTCCTGGATTGACCGGTGGACTTGCAGTACCAAACATGCGCAGGTGTGAACGGATATTCCTAATAGAACGTTCGCTACATTCGGCAACGTCAGTACTCTGGGGAGTAGTAAAGCATTTCCTGTGTAACATATCACTGATAAGCATATGCTTCCAGGGTTCAAGGCGGCGCGTCCCATGGCGCGCTGCTCCCGTAGAGTGAGATGTTAAGGGTGGCATGAAGTGCGGGGGAGGGGAAGATGATATCTGTAATAATACAAGAACTTTCTAGTCAATTTGGTTTCTTTGTGTATTATTTACAAGCTCTCAATATATCTAGGCGACAAACTTGCCAAATAGAGACTTGTGCATACAGTGGCGGCTTGGCACTAGATTTTAAAAAGTAAGCTCATGTCTACGGGGCGGAAACAGGTTTCGGACCTTGGTGTAAAATCATTATCATCGGTCTCTTCTGTTTTCTGTTTTTGCTTTTGACATCATATTATAATAGTTGTTATCTATCTTCCTGTCACAGCTTCGGATCTTATCTTATCTTTCGATTCCATTATCTCATTATTTTCTCTTTTCGCAGTTGTCGGGTTATGGTGTTTGTTGATGGGTGATGGCTGATACATCTATCTCCCCTTCGTCTATTGATGACAGTGAGAAGGGGCCATTAGCAGGAAAACGAACTCATGAGGAAAGACTTACTACGAAGTTTACGCGGTGTCGGACGGGGTGTTTGCGGTGTAGGACTAGGAGAAGAAAATGTGTGTTCTCTTCCTTTATTGTGTCTATTACAGGGAATCGGCTGATGAGACTAATTGGTTGGTATAGGCGACGAGACTAAGCCCCGGTGTCGGAATTGCATTGAGAAGAACCTGGTTTGTCGCTATGGTGTCCAAGTGACGTTTTTACCGAAGAATACCTTCACCGTTGCGGAGGGGGAGCTTTGTCCTAGTACAAATATGAAGTCGACTGAGAAAGCAGAGAGGGTTGTGCGGAGAGAAGAGCGGCAGAGGAAGGGGAGGTGGAGGTGGGTTAAGGTTAGTGAGATTTATGATTGTTTTCAATTTTTTATATTCGCTGACGAGGGGATGATTCAGTTTGTGAATGAGGATCCTACGGTGGGTGGGGATGATGTTGTAGATGAGGATAGTATGAGCGACGGTGCGAGGGCCTCGGGAGATGAGACTGTGTTGGCTCCATCTAGAATTGGTTTTGAGGCCGATAACAGTGATGATAGCCTGCACGACTCTCCTGCTATGCACTCTTCATTGGTTGGTAGTAAAGCCTTCAGCGATAGGGACAAATCTGCTGTACATGGGCTTCTTGCTTTGGGAACAAGCGATGGTGTCAATTATCATAGGGCCGCTCCGGATAAAGGGTATGAAAAGACTAGTTCTGATTTTGTCTCGTCAGAGCTAGTGGCCAGTACACCTGCGGTGATGAAGCATGCTCCTAGCTTTGTGGGGTCTTCTGAGAGGTTGCCTTCAAGCATAAGTGCCAATCCTATAACAGATACGGCAAAGCTGAAGCTGTTATGTCACTATCGGTACCATGTAGCACCATGGGTAGGTATCCGCACCGTCTGGTGAGGTTTATGGCTGACGGGCTCTTTCAGCTCGATATCTGCGATCTCACTCATCCATTCGGGATCACTGCTGTCCAGACCGCACTCAGCTCGGAGCCGCTCATGACAGCTCTACTGGATCTTTCCAATGCTTGCGTTATCCATAAGGATATGGGGAAACAGCAAACGTCTCATCTTAGCCGTATAGATCAGTTGACTCGTCCGCTGTGGTCGGACAGCTTCACTTTCGCTGCTGAGAATGCTTTGACGGCCGTGCTAGAAGAGACAAGATGGCTTGTCACCGATATCGCTCAGACTTGGAAGAACATGCAGAACCTCAGGACACGGAAGCTTGAGCCATTGGCTCATCAGGCCCTGGATCCGGGTATTGCGTCATCTACTTACTGGATGTTCTTCCGCTTAGGTTCGTTTCACTAATGGTCCGCGCATGGAAGTGCCGTTCTGACAAAACCAGGCTTGAGTGCAGCGCTCGCAAACGACAGACCAATTGAGATACAACTTCCGATGCTCCCGTTACCTAGCCTACCAATTCTATCAAGGGTAGAGGAAGTCCGGGAAAGAACCCGAGCGTATGCCCATGTCCTCCTCTGGCTGTGTGGAAAAGCTTTGATGCTATATCACCAGCAGACCAGCCCCGGCCAGTTTGTAGCTCCACAACAGCTACTGGATAGCTGGCTGGATGTTTTTGATGCTATTGAGCAATGGTACCATCTGCGACCACACGAATTCCAACCTATGGTAGATTTGGGTGTTGACGATCAACTTGCCCAGGCCGAAAGTGGATTTCCGCTGCTGCTATTCGCAAACGGGACGGGTGCCTTCTGCAATCAGTTGTACCATACTGCCATGCTACTTTTGCTGCAGTGTAAGCCACGCACAGCACTTTTGGGCTTGCAGTCAATAACTTTGTCGCCACTGTGGCATTCGCAGCGTATCTGTGGCATCGCACTGAATAATGACCGCCGGGAATCCTGGGATCCCTGCTTGATAGCCTCATTCCTGGTGGCTGCCAGAAGAATGACCCATGAATCCCAACAACAGGAGATTTTGGAAGGCTTTGAGCGGGTGCGCGATATCACGGGGTGGGACATGGATGGATATCTGACGCAACTCCGAGAGGATTGGTCCTTCCTTGATGGTTTCTAGCATGAAGGGTTATGTTCATCTCATTCCGGAACAACCCCAGGCAAGCTCTAGATCCCGAATCCGCCAACATGTGCCCCAGCCAGTTTCAGCCTCAATGCTATGGATCAGCCTGATGATCTCTTCATGCTCCGAAACATGACTGAAAAGCTGTCCGGCAATCCACAATGGCTGGATGGAGTTGTTCAAGCACCCTTGGTGTGGGTTTGCCAAGGAAATGCCACAGATTCGTCGAGCATGCCATAGAGGAAACAAAGTCTGCGACCGTGGAAGCCGAATGTCCTTGGGCATCATCTTCAGCAGCAGTATACATGCAGTGTGGTACAGTTGGTTTGATGAGATAGCAGCCCAGTGGACGAACAGGATACGAGGGAAAGGCTTGCGATTGACTGTCTGCACCGGAAGAAGCTCGCTAGGACGCTTGGAGAACCAGCATTGTAGGTCATTCCAAAGGCTGATCCATCGTGTGCGGAACCTATCCGGAGTACACCCATTATCTTCACCTAGTTCCACAAACTTTGTACGATCGGACACCAGCTCAGTCGCTTTGACGCACAAATACACCGCATAATTTGCATGCATATCTGGGGACTTGACACTCTGAAACAGCTGATGAGCATCCTCTGTCTGGTAGCCTTCGGGAAGCCATTTAGAGGGATGTAGCAGCGTGGTCTGTGTGCCATCTGAGATCAGCGCACCGCACAGATCTGCTCCGGTCAGAGAAAGATTGAACTATACAGTACAAAAGTAGAATGCTCAAAGAAGGGATGCAATGCAGCTCTAGACTCACCCATTCTTGCATAACACCAGAACACTGCCTGTAGAATGCCCTGGCTGAAGCCGTGGATCCCAAACGCATCAAACAACGCGGCGCAGCCTTCAAGATGGCGACGCCAATCCTGGGCACGAGCAGACATCATCTCTAAGCAACAGAGAAGCACACATGCCGCTACAATTTTCGGGTCACGTAGTTGAAGAAGTGGGCTCAGCCGTCTGATAGCTTCTTGGTACAACTCGAGGCTGTCAAACCAATTTCGAACTCCATTCTTGCGTTCGATCTGACGAGCAGAAATGGCAAGCATGGCGTAGGAAAGAGCGGGAAAGGAGCGAGCCAACACGGGAACCTGCTGACGAAAGGTGCACTGAGAGTCGAACATGTCCAGCTGTTCCTTCTTTAGTCATGCATCGATAAAAGTCGTCATCCACAGCACATACCCAAGGTGCTACTTCTGCCACGTAGTTTTTCAAATATTCAATTCGCCTCCTGCTCGACAGAGAAGACTGCAAGAGCTCCCCTCTCCGTTCTGGCTGGTATTTGTTCGAGGGTGGTGATTGTTCGGCTAGTTCAAATCTTCCCACAACATCTGGGCTGGATACTCGGGTTGGAGCAGTTGAGTTCGCGAGAGAAAATAGGATGCATCGCAGCTCTTCCTGTGAGGCCAGGTAACCGGGATCCTGCGAGAAGCCATCCTGGGTCCAGCTAGCGGCTGGTGACTGAAAAGGGTCACTGCCGATGGGCAATATCGGAGAGTTGTGCTGATCAGTGTAGTAGTCTGCTAGGTGGTAAGGGCTCTGCAGTTGGTCCCATGCCGGCGATTCTGAACTGTTGTCTGCAGGTACTGGCTCGGGTTGCTCTTGTAGCGAAGTGGTCCGCGCACGTTTCCTGGGTGTTTCACCGAACGTGGTGTCGTCCATGCCGATGATGCTGGATCATAGGAGATAACACAGACAATCAATACTCTATTGAAGACATCGTGAGTAAGCGGTTGTTTACAGAGCAGTAGGAAAGTCTAACGTTCACTTACTGGGGCGAATAGTTGTGTCAACATGTCAGTCTAGTGCTTTAGTTAAGCCAAGTCTTCATCTGGTTAGTCAGAGTCAGATAAGAATGATGCTTTGAGTAACGAGGCCTCTTTGATTCCCGAGAGTGCCGTCAAAGTGGTGATCAGACCATGAGGAAAGGAAGCGGCAGAAGCAAAGAGCGACAGCCGAGACGCAGCTCCGCATGGGAGTCCGAAACGGGTTTAGCGGGATGCGGGTAGCATCCTGAAGATGGAGATGAAAGTCACTGAACATCTTCAATAAAAGTACGCCAATGTGCTATAAGCAAACATCCATCGTTAGTTTCAATATATACAAAGGGGTCCGGAATGAACGGTTTGGATTCGAGAGTATCCGCCGAGGTCAATTGACTCGCACTGAACCATGATGGATTCTGCCATTGAGTGCAGCAAAGAAACATGTCCCCAAAGGCAATGGTTTATACACAATAAGCATAGTAGGATGTACGCCATGAGGAAGAAAAAAGCTTGAAATACTTTCAAAGATACAGAAAACAAGCCTTTAGCACGTGCAGATATCCAGCTTTCTACATTGACGGTGGCTCAACTTACCAAGTCCGTCTATAACTTAAACAAAGATACAATACTCAAGACTTCGCATTCCTTAAAGCATATCATACTCTTCCAACCGATACTACTTCCTAGAGATAGAGACATTCAGACCAATGCAGCTGTATATCATCCCAAGGGTTTATCATGACCACAGCTATACACTCTATAACTCACGTACTATCTATCCAACGCACCTCCACATCCCAACCTTCATCCACACACACCCACAACCATCAAATGACGTCTACTGTCAACCCTCGGCAACCCCAAACCTAACCCAAGAAACCACCGCAAAAAGAAGACCATCCCAAGACGGCACGGCAGCATCCGATCTCGTCGCCAACCCCGGGCCATCATTCCCCCCTCATATCCGAATTTGGTCTAGCGCCTCAACAATCCGGGGTAATCGTTGCCACGACCTTCCCTTTTGAGTAACTGGCCCAAGAATCAGCATCATGATCGATGACGAGGGTGTCTTATCTGTCTTTAGCCGGCTGGGTGACGATCTTGCAGACCATCTCGGGGTGGTGGTACTACCGAGATTCTACTACTGTTTCATGATTCAGTCATTCCAGCCGGGGCTGGGGTGGACGGGGTTTGTCCGATGTCACAACATACCCTCACTACTTACCTGGGACCGTGCATATATAGTGATGCATCGTCCCATCTCCGACTGGAGAATTGAGCCAAAGAGAACTTGATTAAACTTCCCTACATGCGACTTCAAAATACTAGAAAAAGGGTACAAAGAAAATGCCGAAATTCAACCTCTTCGGCACCGGCTTCGCCCTCCAAGCCGCAATATGGGCGGCCTGTGGCATGGCATTCATTCTCTTCGGTATGTCCCCGTCCTATCTATTCCAACCCAACACCCCAAATCTAACTCCTATCTGTTCTAATAAATACTATGCAGGCTACGATCAAGGCGTCTTCTCCGGCATCGTGGAAAACGACGACTTCCTCGCCACTATGAACCACCCCAACGACAGTCTCGAGGGGATCATCGTCTCCATCTACAATCTGGGGTGTTTCGCCGGCTGTATTGTCAATTTCCTATTAGGTGATTGGCTTGGTCGACGGAGGGCGATGTGGTTTGCTATGGTTTGGGTTATCGTATGTCACCCCATTCTTTATACAACAGTGATATGATTTGCTAATATGAATATATCTATGGGTACAGATCGGAGCAACTCTCCAATGCTCCGCGTTCTCCGTCCCCCATATTATGGTCGGACGATTCGTGACGGGCATCGGGACGGGCGTGGAGACGTCGACGGTGCCGATGTATCAAGCGGAATTGTGTGAGGCGAGTAAGCGCGGGAAATTGGTGTGTAGTGAGCCGTTGTTGGTTGGGGTGGGGATTGTTATTAGGTATATTCCTTTCTTCCTTCGAGTCATTTCAATTTGTGGTCATTTTCATTTGTTGTATACTGACTGTGGTTAATAGCTACTTCTTCGACTATGGGATGAGCTATGTTGGTGGTCAGATCGCTTGGAGATTGCCGATTGCGTGTCAGATGATTTTCGCTTTTGTAAGATATTATACATTGTCTTATTGGAGTTTCTGGCTAATGCAGATTATCTATCGATCTAGGTGGTCATTGTTCTGGTGTTCGGGCTGCCCGAATCACCCAGGTACTGCTACAAGGAAGGTCGCAACGAGGAAGCACTGCAGATCTTAAGTGATGTGTATGGGCGCCCGAAGGACGACCCGAAGATCCTGGCAGAGCAGGAAGAAATCCTGGAGGCTATTTCCGTGGAGACGAAATACGGGGAGTACAAGTGGAGGTATGTGCCCACCTTCAACATCGCAATTTGATGCAAGCTGACGAGACCAGAAATGTCTTCAAGCGGGATGAAGTTTCCACAGGCCACAGAGTGTAAGTCTCGCGTCTTATCTATCGCGAATCATCTGCTAACAACCGCGCAGTCTTCTTGCATACGGTATGCAATTCATGAATCAGATGGGTGGTATCAACATGGTCGTGTATGTTGGGCATAGAACTCACCTCACGAAATTCTGAAAGCCTTGCTAATGAAACCCAGATACTACATCCCCACCGTACTCAACACCAACGTCGGCCTGGACAAGAATCTCTCCAATCTTCTCGGCGGCTGCGTTCAGATTATGTTCGTCGTCGGAAGTATATTCCCCACCTTCTTCGTGGATCGCGTCGGTCGCAGAGCTCCCATGATCTGGGGATCATTCGGCTTAGGCATCTGCATGATGATGGTATCCATCCTGCTCAGTTTCAAAGGTCACGCCAACGAGCATGCAACATCGTCAGCTGCTGTCGCCTTCTTCTTCGTGTACATGCTTATCTTTGGCGCATCGGTTAACTGCATCCCCTGGTGCTACGTGCCCGAGATCTTACCCCTCCATGCGCGCGCCAAAGGAACCGCCGTGGGTATCTCGTCGAACTGGATCTGGGTAAGTCACTACTAGTAATCTCACGCACCTTCCACGACTAACAATCATTCAAATGAAAAGAACTTCTTCGTCGTAATGATCACACCCATCATCATCAACCGCCTGCAATGGAAAGCATACCTCATCTTCATGTGCCTGAACTTCGCCTTCGTCCCGCTAATTTATTTCTGCTACCCGGAAACCGCCAAACTGACCCTCGAAGAGATCGACTACCTATTCACCACCCCGGGAAAAAGCGCCGTGCAAATGTCCAAAGAGCTCGTGAAACAGCGAAAGCAACACGGCCATGTACCAGGCCAACGACTGATGCGACACACGGACGAGACCGGCTCCGAGAACATGGAGAAAAAGCAGGACAGTGTTGTCGCCGGGGTATCGGACGAGCAAGTCGAGCAGGTCTGAGGAAGGAAGCCAGGAGCGCGAGGCAGGGAGGATGAGAAAATAAAAAAATTCGCGCGCATCCGGTTGTATGATCAATGTACATGAAATGAATGTATGTATGTATGGCGTCTGCACATGTGGAGAGAGAGAGAGAGAGAGAGAGAGAGCTTACAGGAAACCCGCTGTGCTGGCCACGGCGGGTTTTCTTTTCAAGGGGTGACCAGTATGAGGCAATTTCTAGCAATTAAAGCACTCACTTTCATGCAGTGGTTGCAGAACAAAACAAGAAAGGAATGGTTCGCAATGCAATGCGCCCGTGGTAGTAAGTAGATAGCAAAAGCGCAGGGCCATCCATCCAATGAAGTGAATGGGATTTAGATCACTCAAAGGACCGCCGAAAAGGCTTGTACGACACTGTATCCAGTAGCATCATCAGGCTTACTGCGCACGACTAGGATTGATGATGAGAGTATATCACCTTGCGTTGCCGGGAAAGCTTCATTAATTATTATCTTTCAAACCAGCCAGTTCGGTCAGTCAGTCAGTCAGTCAGTCAGTCAGTCAGTCAGTCATCGAAGACCCCAGGAACTAACTCAGTAGTACCAGTCAGCGAATGCAGGACGTTTGAGCAAGAACGAATCCCGAGCATCCTGGAATTGTGGCGAGCTGGTGAAGGTAATTTAAGACCGCCGGACGGACCCATGCAAGCCGAGAAGAGGACGACTTACATATGCACATACCTGGGCCATCCCCTCCCTCCCTCCCCACCACGCCTTTGAATAAAAACGGAAAAAAGAAAAGAAAAAAAGAAAAAGAAAAAAGTGAGCTGGTGATATGTATGTACATATCCCAGGACCGGCCGTATGTATGCAAGATGCATTTGGCTCAAAGTTTATCAATCTTGAACATTACATTATGATTATATTATACATGAGGGATATCGGGGACCAAAAAGAGCCCCCCAGGGGTGGGTGGATACACGCGGTGAAGAGTCTTGCTGAGCTATAATAATGCATCAGTGGTTATCATTGGGGTGGTAAAGGGCAGAGAATAAATTGCGGTGAGCGTGATGCGAGTCCTCAATGATGGCAGCCTAACTGTGCAATTTTTTTCGGGAATGATGATGGCGCGGCAGGATGGATTTGGTTTGGTTTGACAAATCTGGGTTTCCTTTCTGCTTGATGGGGGGATGGATGGATGGATGGATGGATGGATGGAATCCGGGAATATGGGACAAGCAAGCAAACAAAGAGGTGGGAGGGGGAAACAGAACTGATGGGAATGGGCGGGGATTGATGGTTGGGTTGGTTGGTGGAGATGCAGATGGAGAGAGTACCGAGCAGAGTTCACTGGTAGAGTACCCCGTAAATAGTATCTATCCCTATTCCTATCCCGAAAGATAGATAGATAGTATATTGTTACTATCTTCCTTAGATTAGCCATCGTTGTTTGACAGGAGCGGGTCTCTTCCTTTCCCCCATATCTCTTAAGTGTGACATGTCACATTCGATGAATATCACGCTGCTTTTAGTGTCCAATTACGATATTCGGGGGCGACTACCGGTCTAGCGTGGCCGGTAATTTGGCGCTAGACTCGTAGTATTTGTCCGGAGCCACTTCGAAGCACCGAAAGAAGGCAAAGGGAGTGGGATGAACTGGCCCCGGGGGGTGAAAGAATTAGTGTGACTGTGCCAGCTGCATGGCTGCTTCAAAGAATAGACAAAAAAAAAAAAAAAAAACAGGGTCGACGAGGGGGACAAACAGCGGAGAATAACCTCGCCCAATCAGCCCTCCTTATCCGCATAATTCGGATCGCGCTTCGGCCCATCAAGCGAGGTCAGGGGCTCCACAGCTTATATGTATCCAATTCCTGCCTGCGAATCACCGGCCGTAAGTCGGTCTGAGCTTTCCTGGCCAAGACGTGAGTGATAGACTGATCAACGTCTGGCGATGGTTAATCCACCGAACTGTGATAGAGTAAGTAAGTTGTGCGTTTACCTGTCCCACCGTCGGACTTGAAACCGGCCACCTGTGTTGGGGTGTCTTCATAACCCCGAGACTTGAACGCGAACGAACGCGAAGATCAGGCCAAAACCAAAAAAATAGAAAATAGCAGAAATAAAAATAGAATAAAATAATCTATACATAACACGCATGCAAACGAAAAACGACTCATAGAAGCAAGAGTAGAAGCGCAGTCGAAGTACCCAGAGTAGCCCTTGCACGTTGCATTCGCCGCGCTGGTACATCTAACGAATAGACCACTCCCAACCATCGGTATAGATCTGTGCAGAAGACAGGGTCCCGATATTGACTGGTGATTCTGTGTTGTGTATTTGACTGATCCGGCCTGATCATTGGCGCATCGGCATTCCATCCCTCCCGTCAGTCCTCTTAGTGCTTGGTGCTTAGTCCGATAGCAGATGGGGGGACAGGCAGCCAGAAGGTAGCAAACAATATGGCTTCATAGGCAGGGGTTGAAATGTCATTTTCTACACCATGGGTTTCCATTCCACAAGATGGACTTCCCAAAAATCGGCATGTAGAACAGCCTCAGATCGCATGGGAGGGTGGGTGATTCGTACAGCCGGGCTCCAAGTGGACCAGAGTGTCACTGATCAGATCTCAGCTGGACAGCCTCCTTGGGCTGTAGGGGTTCTAGCCACATCATTGGTTGAGCCGGGGGTGAACGATTAATTTTCTTTTATTTCTGAAATTGTTTATTCTTTTCCCCACTTGGCCAACAACCTGCGGCTGATTGAGTACGACACCATGCACAACGACGACACTCTTGCATGAGTAATTAGCAGACACCCGTTTGAAGCTAGACGGGCATAGCACATAAATCAGGATATGCAGAGAGAAATACAATGTGGCTGTTGGGAACGCCGTGGGTTGTGCAGATCGAGGATTGCGTCTCTGAAGCCCGCCATATGCGCGAGACGGGCTGCAGCCGGCGCTAACTCGGTAGCGTACTCGCATCGAGCATCAATTTAGATTAAGTGTGACCTATACATTGTTATTAGCATCAGATGGTAAAATTCGGAGCTGATCTTTTGTGCTGAGAGCCCACTACGATGTGTGGGATTAGGGATGGAGAGATTGATCCTCCCGGCCTCCCAACACCAGTCACAATCCATTTGCTCTTTTGGCCATAGGACATACAGCAAGGGCCCGGTTACCGAGAACCCCGTCGTAGCTTGCATAAAACGGTCTGTTGTATGCATCTCAAATGCTGAGTGGTCCTTTCGGGGGTTTGTGGGAATTTCTCTGTCACCTTTTCCCTGTCCAATCCCTCCTGCCTCCCCCCTGCTCTGCTGCTATAGTTCACGTCTCTCTTTCCTTTTTCCTTTATCGCTCACATCTCAGCCCTTGTGGCATGCATCACTCACTCTTCCCACCCACCTAGACGATTTTCGGTATAGCCCAACACGTATCTATCACACCAAGGTAAGGAGAGCTGAAACCCTCCCTGGTTGAGGTTCCCCTTAGCTGGGACCCCCAGATGCAAGTCATCGACGGGAAGATCCGAGTCATCCGAATAATTGCTGCGGCGGACATGACATGTTGCCTAAACCAGGGTCCATGTATGATTGATCTTTGGATGCATTGAGTCCGGCCAGGTCGTGTCTCCAATCAATCGGTCCAGACTAAGGTGAAGATCTCCCGATGGGAACATAGGTCGCCTGCCCCAGGAGGCGTAATGGGGGGTGGAGGGACACCAACAAGTCCAGTTTTGGCTATATATAGGTGGGATGCTCGGGACCGACGAGATTTAAGTTCATGGAGTGGAAAAAAAGCGTGTCCCAGACAAGGTGAACTCTGTCGAAGAACACGTCTATAAGCCTTTGAATACCCTTCAGTTGATTTTTACTAATTTCACATCACAATTGATCCTCTGGTTGAGAGCTTTGCACTTCCTGTTTCTCCTTGTGTTGATCTCATTGCGAAGCCGTCACCATGCCTGTGAGTTGCTATGTGTGTGAATAGCCTTTGCGACCGATGCTAATGACATACTAGATGCCCGGAATGAAATGTCCCCATTGTCTTTCAGAGGGGACTGATGTTTGGGTCATCCCCGGCAAGAATTGCCACAAGTGTGGAACTGCAGTTGGTTGATTGGGCGGCCAGGTGAGATGGATTCGATAGATATACTCTACTCTTAGGGCGCAATCATACTAACACCAGACCGCAGTCCGCTAGAAACCGCTTCAACTCTGCTCGGGAGCAGGTCAATCCGACTCCTGAGGATGGGGAACAAGGACCGGAAACTCTTCACTGCCTTCCAGAAAACATTCGAATTCCCTGCGACTGTTATTTATATCGCGCGATTACCTGTTGTTGTTGTTTACAATGATTGAAGAAGCGAGGCAGACGGCAGGATCGGCTGGGAGGAAAATGAGAAGTTGACAGGTACAATATCCCAAGCTTGGAGGTACTAGAGAGCGCTCCCTGCCGTGGGATTGCAATTGGGGGGTATGAAACGAGAGGAAAAAAATTCTCTTCCTGTATAATATTTACGATAGACTATTTAGATACGAAATAATTCTGACGCATTGAACGTTCATCAACAGACCAGAAACTTGGCTTTGAATTGATCACAGTCAAAAGTAAATCAATCCAGCGGGTAGTAATCTTGGCCTCGGTCCAAGTTGCAGCTCTCCCCGCAGATCAACCACCAACTTTCTCCAACTTCCATCTCCCACCTGACATTCCACGAAACATCACCTTTACTCTATAAACAACACAAAGAAACACCCAAAATGCTCATAATAGGCCTCACCGGCTCCATCGCGACCGGCAAATCCACCGTCTCCTCCATCCTCTCCGCCGCACCCTACTCCCTCCCCATCATCGACACCGACCTGATTGCCCGCAAAGTCGTCGAGCCCGGCACCCCAGGCTACAAAGCCATCGTGAACTACTTCGGGCCAACCACCCCGGATCTCCTTCTCCCAGCATCCGATCCCAATGACACAACAACAACAACCACAGACCGCCCCCTCAACCGCCCAGCACTAGGCCGTCGCGTCTTCGGCACCACCGAAGCCCGCAAGCGAGACCGCGCCATCCTCAATAAGATCGTGCACCCGGCTGTACGGCGCGAAGTCTACAAAGCGCTGCTATACTACTATGTGCGCGGTCACTGGGCGGTGGTTCTGGATGTGCCGTTGCTGTTTGAGAGCGGGATGGATCTGCTGTGTGGGACGGTGATGGTGGTGGGGGTTTCGGATCCGACGGTGCAGATGGAGAGGTTGAGGAAGAGAGATGCGCATCTTACGGCAGAGGATGCGGAGAATCGAGTGAGGAGTCAGGGGGATGTGAAGGGGAAGGTGGAGAGGGCGGAGTATCGGGGGGTGAAGTCGGCGAGGGGCGTGGTGGTGTGGAATGATGGGGATAAGGGGGAGTTGGAGAGTGAGGTGCAGAGGGCGATGAGAGTCGTGAGGAAGAGTACGCCGCAATGGTGGGCTTGGATGTTGTGGTTGGTGCCGCCGGTGGGTGTGGCGGTTGCGATGTGGAATTTGGGGGTGAATTTCTGGTTGAAGAGGGGGTGGGAGAAGAGGGAGAGGGAGGTGAAGGCCAAGTTGTAGGTATAGCTATGGCTATGGGTGTAGGGTTGGTGGTGCGAATAGGTGTGCTTGTGCTGTGCTGGATGTAAGCTGTATGGTTCGTGTTAATGATATTATATGCTGGTGATAACGCTGGATTGCTTAGTCGTCGTCTGGAACACCTGCTGGTGACTGCCTAGGGAGGTATAGCTGGTTCTCGGCGTTCAGTCCCACGCTGGCAGCATGATCAATTTCACTGAGAGAAATTCCCCTTCACCTCTACTCACTGCACAGGCAGGGTGTGACTGAATGAACATCTCGCTTTGAGCATTCGAGTACAGAGCTTTACAAGATAGTGCATTTGGTGCGAATGAGTATGTATGAATGTGTTGAATTGAATCTGTGGATGAATACTGACGAGTGATGACTAGGTCAGGTACTATAGCTGGTATCTGGAATACGCGCTAAAGATGTGCTTCTGCTTCGATGAATTGGAATACTGGGTGGAGGTGGACGAGCGAAGTCCTACGCTATACCGCAGGCGAGAGCAGCGTGCAGATAGCTCATCGCTTCCTCCCAACGTTTACCAGCAAGGATACCGGCCAATCGACCCGAAAAGACAGTATAATACCACCCTTCAGACCCGTCGTCAGCAGTACACTGGGGACATTCCACAGAAGCGCGGTATGTAATGCAGGTACTCAAAGTGATCGGGCTGACGAAAGCAGTTCATCTAGTCCCAAAGAGTGAGCTCTTGGAGCTGGGCAAAGAGGCCTGGCTTGAGCGCCGCAGAAAACACGCACAGCTCCAAGAATCTTGCAGACAACTCATGGAACGCCAAGAAAGAGATGAAGAGTCTCGCCAAGCTCAATGTCAGCCAGGAGACAATACCCGACAGCATAACCCGTCCTCATACCAATACACGAACGGCCAACTTGCTGTCCGTAGGTCAGCAACGCAGTCTGCCAGATATCTGTACGGTCCCACTGCCGACAGAGTAGAACCAAGAATGAATGCAGTCGTCGACTATGATAGATCAAAAGACAAATATCCTGGCAGAAGCCAATGGTATGGCACAGCGCCCAAGAGTGGTACCGATGCCCACCCGTACTCATATTCACCCATGACGGGCTACCACGACCGAGCATATGAGGCCTACCAGGCTCATGATCACGTCCAAGCGAGGGTTAACGGGACTTATTGGTAAGGCAATGTCGAATCTCGTCTTCTGGCGAGCAAGGCCCGGAACATACTCGTCTCCAGATGTGTCGGTTTTCAAGTGTACTTTATTTATGTTTGCGCTTCTTTTGCTTCTTATCGTCGCCCATCGTCGAATGTCTTCCACCAGAGATGCTTGTGAGTTGTGACAATTTGACACGATGTGGCTTGTTGCTTTCCTTCTTGATCATCGCATCAACATCGTCATCATCGGACTCGGCCTCGGTTTCACCGGTCTACAAATTGTCAGAAAAAAAATCTTATGTGTATCATGTGATGAAACAAACCGCGGTCTTCTTCTTTCGTTTGAAATTGCCGTATGCTTGTCGGCCACCAACAGCCATGTCATCATCGTCCGCATCCAGCGAGCCATCCGCGACAATGAACGGCGGCGGCGCATACTGAGCAACGGGCTCCGCTACACCATAGTCGAGCACCCATTCTGTGTCACCCGAGTCTTGAGCCTGGCGTGCAAGTGCTTCCTTCCGTTTTTCCTCTTCCTCAGCGAGGGCAGCCGAGATCGCCTCGAGATCCGACTTGGGGGTGCCGATAGGACTTTCAGCGGGGCCGGTGGACAATCTCTGTCGCTTCGGGGGAGTAGAGGCCTTGGACTCGTCGGTGGATGCGGGCTGGGATGTTTCACGGGTAGCATTTGTGGCAGCAGCACGTTGCATGAACTACGACATTATTTTAGTATTCTTAAAACGGAAAAAGAAAATAAATTGTGATGTTGCTAAACATACCTTCATGGTCAGCAGCCGCGAAGACATGGTCTTCTCTGGCTTTGAGCCAGAGGTAGGAGAGCCCCTCATGACGAATGCCCAGAAGATGTAAGTGCAGAACCGAAAACCGTCAAAAACAAGCATAAATTGAAGTCATCCAGGATTGAAGAACGACAGCCAGCAGAATGGCCGTGATTGCAAAGCCGAAATTCCCAGGCGGCAGAATCCCACCGCATCAGCCGCAGGAGCGCCGCCGATTGGCCGGCGGCTCAAGCGCAGCAGCTCCCGCAAACTGGAAACCTCATCCAATCTCTCTCCAACCCGAGTCCTTTCGTCCTCACCTCCGCTCCATCCGCCAGCTACTCTCGCGTCCCATTCCGGACCTCAATTGCCCAGCATGTTGCCCTGCTTCCGCAGCCGGGTCGCGACCCTCTCCTCCACCTTCACCCCCCGATTCGCCGCCCGGGCCAGCTACTCGACCACCGTCCCTCGCCTCTCCGAGAACTTCATCCCTGCCAACGACCCGACCCCGCCTACCGCTAAGCCGAATGTCTCTGGCACCAATGCTACTCCTGTGGATGCCATGGGCGGCTGGGATGCTCCTCTGAGGGAGGAACCCGAGGCGGGCGAGCGCACCCGTCACCTCCAGGCTCCCAACCGGGCCACCACCTGGGCTGCCAGCCAGCAGCCCAAGGAGAAGGCCATGGTTGGTCCTCGCTTCGAGCAGACGATAATGGAGTTGCAGGTGCGTTCTCAATAACTTCCTCCGCTCAGTTTCGGTCAATTGGTCGTGTGGGATGGGGAATATTATGATCATGGCAATATTGATATATAAGACATAAGAAACGCTAACATTTCTCAGCCCCAACCCTTGGCTGCCATTGAGCTCATCCACAGACAGCCCGTCCGCTGGACGAAAAAGCGCGTCGTCAGCTGTGACGGTGGTGGCGGTCCCCTGGGCCACCCCAAAGTCTTCATCAACACCGACAAGCCCGAGATTGCTACCTGCGGCTACTGCGGTCTTCCCTTCGTATGTTGCCATTGAACTCGTATCAATGATACGTGCTAATAATGTACAGGCCCACGAGCAACACCGTGCCTACCTCAAGTCCCTCCCCGCCACCAGCTACCCTCTCGAGCCTACCGGTGACGCCGCCGAGGTGAACGAGAGCCAGCGTGTGACCGAGGGTGGATTCGAGCAGCGGTAAAGATTGATTTTATAGGCGTTGACGATGTTTTGTTTTTATCCTTTAGCCATACGGCTGTTGTACAGATGTACCAGGTCAATGAAGTCGTTAGATTGAATATTTGAATTTCTAGGATATACTCTGATATATCCACACGTACGCCATCCACTCTACACCACTCAGACGTATACTCTACACAATCACAACCGCACTGCCCCACCACCACCAAGTCAAGCCTTCTCACCCTGAATCGTAGCAACCACCTTCCGAGAGTGTCTCATGGCCCTAAACTCCAAGTACCAAATACCCTGCCACGTACCCGTAGCCAAGCGACCATTAGAAATAGGAATCGTAACCGAAGCGCCAATCAACGCGGACTTGATATGAGCCTGCAAGCACCATCAGTATTATGCTCTTTTCCTCTCCCTATTACTACTAATCGAAGATAAGAAAAACGTACCGGCATATCATCCTCCCCCTCAGCCGAATGCCTATAAAGATTCCCCTTCTTATCATACGGAGCGATGCGATCCAGCGCATCACTCATATCCGCGCGCACATCATCATCCCAGTTCTCGTTCAGTGACAGCGCGCAGCTCGTGTGCTGCACGAACAGGTTCAGCATGCCGACCTTGTAGTTCTTGATCTCGGGGAGTTGCTCCAGCACGTGGTCCGTGATGAGGTAGCTGCCGCGTGAGCGGGCTGGCAGGGTGAAGGTTTTTTGGGACCAGGACATTGTTGTTGAGGTTTTGTGAGTTGGGACTGGGTGTTGGTTAGCTGTTGCTGTTTGTGTGGGTGTATGGTTTTGAGGTTTTGAGGTTGCGGGGTTGGGTGGTGTGTGGGGGTTGTTTGCGGGTGAGATGGGAGGGAGGGATTGATGGTAGTGGATGGGAAGGGGTGGTGAAGGTGGTGTGTAGTATATTGGGGAGGACGTACAGTTACTGTTTTGTGGGAAGAGGGGGGAATTGTTTAATGAAGTTGTTGTTGTGATGTTGTTGGAGTGAGGGATTGAATTTCTGGTGGGGGAACCGCGCATCGACGTCATCTTCTGGTTCCCGATGGGAGGGATGGGTGTTTATTACTTACCGCTGCAACGCTACAGGCTCGTTCTGGTACAATCATCTAGTCATCAATTGGCTTCTGCGCTATATATATCTACGGCTAAATTGTATACAGCTGGGGTAGCTATGGCGCAGAGCATACGCTATCCTGTACATATGGCGGATTACTCGTCGCTGACCCCCAATCTGTACTGTTGAATGCTATTCCAGCTGCGGTCGAGTTATCCGATCGTATCTGTGCGATGTTAGCTTCTATACTTTATGATCAGGGATACTGAAACGTACATAGTACTTCGGTTCGACAAAGTGCCACCAGTCATCGCTGCGAAACGCATTATCGAGTGACTGGCTCAGCGGATCAAGCCAGGTAGTCAAGACGGTGTCAAAATGTGCATGCTTCGACCATGACACATACACCTTTGGATGGTCATTATTCTTGACACCATCGGAATTTCGAGCGTCCCCAGCGTTGATTTGCTCTGTGGTCAGGGTGCTATGGATGCTGCCCCATGCAAGATTATGGTAGCCGCTATGGGCCGACAGGAGCGCACGAGAGGGTTGCCAGGTGTTGTTCGCATTTCGTGAATGGATGATGACAACTCGTTCCCAGTCACTGGTCGAGAACATCAGACTGTCTGTTTAAATGGTTGGCTTGGTCTAGGCGACGTCTTACTAGTCATGGCCAGTGTCAATCAGATCCAGCACCTCGGCCCCGTCCTTCTCATAGAACAGGTTATACACTACCCGCACATCGGTCTCGTTGCACTGCTTGAACGTGTAGTAGATGGGAAATGCAGGACCAGGATTCCCTGTTGCTACTCCAGGTTTGCGACATCCACAGCCCACGTCTGGATACTCGCACTGTGGTGCAGCGGGTGTTTTGTGAGCCGCGTCGTATATGTCCGACGAGTTGGGTGAGCCCCCGAAAGCCCAGGTCGGATAACAGGGAGGTTGGTCCACTGCCTGGCCGAAGAACCAGAGAGGTGCGTAACGGGTAGCGAGCTCGACAGCGCCTTGGCTGAGGAAGTTGTTCATTTCATCGTTGGATATCTGTGTGACGGCTGCCGCCGGTGCGGCGAGAAGAGCCACTACAGTGTGTTTGCTTTTAAGCCACATCATGCAGTGTTTATATGGCAAGCATCCTACTCTGAAGAGCATCTATCTAGGTATCGCGGCATATTATATTCGATGTTCGCGACGCTATCTGGCTACGGCTGGCTGACCCCACCCTGCACTCCAGGTCTCGCGGATGAATCTGGTGCCTGCCTGACATCCCGGAGTGACCGATGGGGATGGCATCGTGCTGAATTTCAGGGGTATCGACTGGAGTAGTCTTGAAGTCGTCAGCTGCTGGCTGGCATAGCTGCACTCGTGGTCACTGCAGCTGGATAAGTGCCAGTCTTCCCGGCTCTCACATGCTCGTGATGACTACTTGAAGTTCTCTAGCCCTGTCGATCACCCTGATTTAGAGCCGGACGGGGACTTACACCGTAGGAACATATTTCCAATCTAGTCGATATTATTGGTCCGATGGTAGTATCAGCTGCTCGGGAACTTCTGGCAAGGCTGAAGCCTAATCATTGCTCATACTTCGTGACAGCTAAATAATAGAGAAAAACAAAACATGTATATCTACATCCGGCTCCGGGGGCTACTATTCTTCCCATCCAGTCATTCCTTCTTACGGCCTTGCTCATCCAAAAGATCACTTTGCTCATCAATTCCCGACCACTTGGGCTTCCCATCCGGAATATCCAGGACTCGCTTGCCGTAGAAAATATGGCACCTATACGACATCATAAGCATCATGCAATCTAAGCCGGCACTCCAAGGACCACTCACTCTGGTTCAAACGCCTCGCGCCAGTGCTGTCGATGTTCATCATAATCAGCGCTCTCGATGGCCTGCGGAAACATCAAGCAGACATTCCGTCCCTCGTCCATAATAGGAGATCGACAATAGGAACAATACACCTTAGTCGGAAGCTTATACTCCTGGGTGTCATTCGTGGAGGAGTAGAACGACAGGCCTTCAGCCCCCTTCGTAAAAGCGAGATCAGATTTATGGAAAATAGCCGCCCATTGGAATGGAGCGCCTACACAGTCAGCATGTTTCAGCCACTACCTCGTAAGAAGCTACTACCGACACGGCAGACATACCATGCGTCACTTGACAGCCCCGACAGTGGCAGAATTTAGACTTCAATGGTCGGTCCCGGCTTAATTGATAAGTCACCTGGCCGCATTGGCATTTCCCACGCCATTTCACGGGCCCGAATTCCTCAGGGGAGCGGATGCTGTAGGGCGGACGCTTTGTCCAGTCGTCTTCGCCGGATTTGGATTGGTTGTTCTGGGAGGGATAGGTGGCGCCCACATCGGGGAGAGGATCGCCTCCGTATTGAGTGTTGTTTGCCATTTTAGCTGCTGTGGGCTGGAAATGGATGAAGCTGATGCGGTTGAATAGGGTGGGTGGCGTTCGGAGTGGCAGGGGTCTGGAGTGGCAGAGGAAGGTTCTAGGAAGTCGCATAGCCTGGAGCAGTATGTACACAGTAATATAGACTGCCCTGGCAGTGTACCAGGTGAATTGGCTTGATTGTCTGCATGATGGCTATTTATTTGTCCTGAGGGCTGGTTGTTGGACATGATGTCATGGCGATGTAGTTGACGGGGCCCTGTTTTTTTTTCGTGAGTGGCCAGAAGAGGGCGATGGATCAGAGACTGTTCTGGATAAGCTTATTTTAAATTATGATGCAGTTTTCTATTGACAGTATGCAGCAGTGGTAGGCAAGTTGGTAAGTTGTTCTAGGGTATATATAGACTGCTGGAGGAGTATTGCTCATGACCCCATCGGGTTAGTGGCACTCTTTGGGGTCACGCGTCGAGGACCGCGCGAGAATCTCTCTCAATTCTTGGATCTTAATTTTACTATATTCATCAGCTTGGAGGAAAGACCCTTCAACCCTTTCCAGTCATTATGTGGTGGATTTTCAGCCTTGCTGCAGCCACCGGCGTCGGTCGTTGAACTGGGATCAATTTCCGTCGAGACCCTCTGGGGCAAACGGGACCAAAATGCCAACCACCAAGCAATCCCTGAGGCAAACATGAAACACCCGCCTGCCCCCCTTATATGAACCAACTGGGGGACATGTCTCCCCTCATTTCGCTTGCTAATGTGATGAGTCCTGCGCCAATTGCCAATCAAGCGTTTCAAAAAAAAAAAAAAAAAGAACGGTGCTCGGCCCCGGCTTTGACCAGCGACGCGCTGGAATGGGGACGAACTGCGGGTTCATGCAGCGACTTCACATCACACAGCTTTCCCGACACCAATCAATCATCACCGCGCTGTTGATTATTCACTCGCTCTTGCATCCTTCCCACGCTGCCTTTCTCCTGCTCCCTAACGGTCTCTTTGTTCCACCGCTCCATCTCCCCTTTTAAGTTCGCTCCTCGTTTCCCTCCAGTCCATTGCAACCGTCCATGCCGCTTGTCTGCTCACCATCATGGGTTTACTGAGCCGGCTTCGCAGGCGGTCCAAGAGCCATAGCCGCGCGGGGAATGTGGCCACCACCTACGACCACCTTTGCCTTGACTCCCACCACACTTTCGCCGGCCTCGACCTCACAAAAAAGCTTCCCCGACCGCTGCTGGCTCGCATCTTCACCTATGTGTGTCCGCACACCATCGATTCGAGCTATGATACCTCCGAGGAGTCGATGACAGAGGATGGCTGCATGCTCTGTGATATGCGCGACCTGGCACATTGTGCCGTGGTCTGTAAACGGTGGTATCTGGAGGCTCGGGCTTTGCTGTGAGTTTCTTTGTCCATTAATTCCGCTCTCTGCTGATCGCTGGTTTTAGTTACGCTCACGTCCGTATCGACGCCGTCCACTACTGCGAGCTCGAGGTCCAACTTGCCGCCAAACGAAAACGCCATTCCTTCTTCGACCGCAATGGTGAAGCGATCGATGCCCCACAAGTACGCTTGCAGCTGTTCATGCAGACTGTCCGAGATTCGCGAGACCTAGGGCGCATGGTGCTCTCCCTACGGATGCCGTACATGACACGCGAGGCCAGCAAGGCGGAGATTGCGCGCACCATCTCCGTGACGCCCAACATACGCTACGTTGACCTGCCGGCGGGGATATACAGCGACGACGCGTCGTGTTTGGCGTTGAAGCAGGAGCTTATCGGACGGTGTCCGGATTTGCGTCGCATGACCTACCGACACGGCGCCGAGGGCAGCTTCTTGCAGTTGCCGGAAGCCCGTCTGTGGCAGAATTTGGAGGTGCTGGAACTCTCTCGATTATACATTGAGCCGCGGCTTCTTCGCATGGGGCTGGCCTCGTTTCCTAAACTCCGCGACCTGACCCTCGACGACCTGCCGTGGCTGGATGACTCGGCATTTGACCTCTCCGACACTCTGCCTCCTTTCCCAGCCGTCCAGCGGCTGACCCTTCGCGATACCCCGAACGTCACGGCAAGCGGGCTTGCCGGCGTTCTTTCCCTGCCTTTGAACCGCACGGAACTACGATATTTGACACTGTCTGCGACGGGGGTGCTCCCATCCACTCTGCACCAGATCCTGTCGGCTGCGCCGCAGCTACACACCCTATCAGTCATTCAGGACGTATCGCGGTCCTTCCCGACCGACCGGGTTCCGCCGCTGTCTTCCCGGTCGCTGCAATTACTGCACTACGAGATCACCTCGCCGGCGGGGTCGTACGGCCTGCCGCCAGTAGCTGCATCCTACTACACGTACCTGATCTCGTCGCTGATGTCGAACTGCCTGCCAGGACTGCGTGACCTGTACGTGCGCGACGCCAGCTTCCCAGAGGCACTGCTGCTGGCGCCGCCCCCACGACTATTCGGTGGTGGCGAGGGCGGACCACAGTTCTTCAGCGGAGGTATTTCGCAGCCACTAAACGTGTATAGCAAGGGTCTGGACGAGCTTGAGTGGAACTTTACGCCGTACGAGCCACCATCAACACGAGGACGGCGCGATGGCACAACCCGACCGGTGAGCTTCCACGACGCGCAGCTCAGTCGGTCATGGGGCGGAGACGCACGCAAGAGCGTGCTAGTAGGCAATGGATTTGGTGGATTCCTGGCAGTGCCAGTGGACGATGGACGACCAAAGAGCAGTGGGGGATGGCGACGCGAGAGCCGACAAGATTTGTGGAGGTAGCAGCGATGCAGCATAGCGATTGGAGCAATATAATGATAATGACTATACCATCATCCATGATCCCCAAGCTCCCACCATACTATATATATAGTAACCACCATCCCCATCACCCAACCCAACACCCAATAGAGAAAGAGAGAAGAAAGATTGAACTAACATTCCTCCCCAACAACCAAAACCGCCACATCATGCTCCTGCAACTTGACCTCATACTTATCCCTCACACAACCTAAATCCTTACCCGTCCACGCATCCGTCACCTTAAACCCTTTACCTTTCTTCCCCTTTGAATTCTTCCCCTTTAACTCAGGCACCTCCCCCCAAACCGCCGTACGAGTCTTCACCCCATCCTCCGAATTCAACATCAACACAAACACCTCCCCAGAAGACGTCGGCCCAGACCAATACTCCGCCGGATGCTCCGCATCAAACGTCCAATCGGGATTATATCCCCATTTATACGGATACGCGGGGCGCCCGATCACAGCGTCTTGGTGGAAGGTCAGCAGGGGTTTGTTGAGGAGGATGGTGAGGTGGGAGGTGTCGATTGAGTCCAACTATACACAACACCATTTCATATTAGCATATGTCCGTCAGCTGTATAGAGTAGGTGGGAAGGAAAGGGAAAGGTATACAGGCGTCCCAATAATCAACGGCGCCTTCATCATCGCCCAAAGAGCAAAATGCGCTCTATTCTCAGCGAGAGTCAAATTCCCATTCCCGACCTCCAGCATGTCCGGGTCCGGATAGCCCCAGAAGTTGGCGTAGTTCATGTAAAAGCTGTTTTCGTTGGCGATTTCGGCGATGCGGGTCCATGTTGCTATCACACCCAACCTCCTTTATTAGTATTTATTATTTCATGAGGAGGTAGGTAGGTAGGTAGTTATCGAGTATGTATGTATGTATGTTATGTATGTATAGAGTTTAGGGGGGTAGTAGGGGTAGGGTATACCGGTAATATCTCCCGACATGCGCCAGCTATTCCCCGTTTCATTCCCCCAAGCGTTCACATCCGCTTGGCCCCAATCACATAGTGAGTAGAGAATTGTTCTGTTGACGCTGAGTAGGGCATCGCGCATGCGTTGGTACCGTTTCGCTGTGGTGGAGGTGGCCCAGTCGTATCCTGTGGGCGCAGCATCGGTCAGGTCCACGCAGGTGCCGTTGGGGAAATTGGACCCGTCGGTGCTGTCGGGGACGCAGTAGGTGTATTGGTCTGTGAGGTTGGTGGGGACGCCGCAGTTGTCGTATTTGAGGTCTATTCCTTTGTCAGAACAGAGGTTATCGGTGAGTGATTGGGGGAAGTACAGTCAACACCCCATTCAGCAAACGATTGCGCGTCGATTTCTTCGTAGCCGAGACTGGCTGGGTAGCCGGCGCAGGTGGTGAGGCCGGCGCCTTATTATTTGTATCACTTCTGTTAGCTGTGGTGATCTCTTTGGAGTGGAGGGGCTGGGGTATGTGCTCACTGCTGTAGATTCCCAGTTTCAGTCCCAGGGCGTGTACTTGGTCTGCGACGCCGGAGATGCCATTGGGGAATTTGTCGGGGTCGGGGATGATGCGTTTGGTGGTGCTGTTGCGGCCGGATTTGACGGACCAGCAGTCATCGACTGTTTCTGTCAGTCAACTGTGCCAAAGGGTAGTGGGGATAATGGAATTTGGAGGGGGGGTAAGTGTACTGTTGATATACTCATATCCCAAGTCCTTCAACCCCAAATTGACCACCTCATTGGCAGCAGTCACGATCTTGTCGGCGTCAATATCGCAGCTGTATGCGTTCCATGAGTTCCAGCCAAGGGCAGGAGTGCGGCCCTACAATTGAGAATATCTTCTCGTTAGTCGAGATATAGACATGGTAGGAATGAAAGTGACATACCACGCCATCAGGTCGAACCAGGGCTGTAGCCGGCACTAAGAGTACGGACGAGGTGAGAAGCCACCGCATCTTGCTTAGTTTGCACTCAATGGATAGGTAGGTAGACACAGTGAAAGCAGACAGATCGGTGAACGAAAGGGAGTGCAAAAAAGCATAGCTTATGTAGCTGAGCTGGTCGTGCGGGGAACGGTCAATAATGCACCTGCAGGTCCGGTTAAGATCTGCAGGCGAGGCCAATAGTGTCCGGGTTTGACTTCACCTGATTTAGGCTATCTGAAGCAGACGTAAGCATTGCGGGATAATGGTTCGGTGTTTGCATTGGGACAGGTTACCGGATGTGCCGTGTTGGATGGGGAATAGTGTTGCTGCAGGTTGATGCAGGTTATATTAAGTGGTGATATTGTTTGACTTTGACGGGCGTGGACTGCGGGGTTGTGCTGGTATCTGTTGAAAGGATTAGTAAATGTATTTTGTAATGATCTGGGATGAGGTATCAGTAGATTTTCTCTGGTACGTTTTGGAGGTATACTGCGATTGAGGTTGATGAACTCTCGGGTGATTAAGTTAACTACTGCCATGGGAAAGCGACATGTCACCGAAGCTTCAAGATGCTTGATCGTACGATGACGGACTGAAACAGGCAAAGATGGACATGGAAGAGTCATGTAAATGCACCAATCGGTGTCCCATGCGGGGGTTCGACAGCAGGCCCTAAAATAGTCTGCTGAATGTCTTGGACACGCCCTAGAATTACGCAGTCAACAACTGCAATAGATACATATTATATAGCCATAACAGCACTCTCATCAAACTTCATATCCACCCCCAAACAACCCCCTCAAGTACCACTCAAACGTCCTCCCCTCCATCCCAAAGTCCCCATTATGCACCTCCCCCGGCGGTCTCCAAAACCTCCCAGCCCCTTGCATCCCCTTGACCAGAATCCAGAAATCATCCGGAAATGCTCCCTTCCCTTTTACCTCCGCCGGCACCCTTTCCTTATCCTTCCACACCTCATCCATTAGACTGATCGGATACAATGTTTTTTTTACTTTCTTCCCGGAGTACTTCTCCAGTAACTGCGCAATCTCATTATACGAGATACGATCACTCACGAAATTCAACGTCCGGTTCTCCGACCGTTCCGGATGCTTGATTGTTTCGACAATGAACTCTCCTAGGTCGTTAATATGCGTGAAGTCTATAATGGCATCCGCGTCGCCGAGTATATGCAGCATGTATTCAGATGTATGAGGGTTCGTCCACGGACACCATATCTCCTCACGAGACTGGTTGTAGAAGTCTCCGCAGCCGATAAGGGTGTATGTCATAGAGCCTGATTTTATAGCTGGATGGTGTAGACAGGCTTCGTTGGCGGCGGATTTGGTATTCCACATCTGTACTTACATCATTAGTATTCAGTGTATAACAAGGATCTATGGAGCATGGAACTTATTACCGGATGAAGATACCCAACTTCATCCCCCGGCGGCCGATACACATGATGCATGCCGTATTCACTAGGATAGAATCTCCTCACACCGGCCTTTGCTCCAGCATCTTGGACCTTTGACTGCGCTTGCAGCGCTTTACCGTTCAAGGCGCTGATGATGATCTCGACATTGATGAGAAAGTGGACGAGGTCATCTGTACTGCAGGAGAGGATGTCCACTGATTCAGTGGATAGTCGACTTTGTTGCTCTGCTGTGAATTGCTTGTTTATAGAGCGAGCAGTGGATTCAGATTGCGGTGAAATCAGTTGAAGTACCTCGTGGGAGGTCTTGGTGAGGAGGGCGCGCAAAATGGATTGGCCGATTTGGCCGGTTGAGCCGAAGAGGGCAATTCTCATGATGATAATGAGATAGACTGGAAGTATATGCTCCGATTATCGTGATGATGATTGATATCTCATCTGATTCCATTGATGAACATATGAACATGGCCATTACGTCATGGGTAGGTATGCACTCGGTTCGGCATCTCTTGGATTGCTTGATCAACAGGTTTTCGAAGTATGACATCCTTTTTGTCGGGATTAACTTCCCAGATTATTCATCGTCCGTGTTCTGGTTTGAGATGGTCGTGTCTCTTCTTGATATCCTCTTCGGCTGGCTAGGGGGCATTGAAAACTCCACAGACTGGAGACAGATTCAATTGCAAAAGACCTGCTCACTCAGCCAGTACTCTCTCAAGTGGAACAGGATGGCTTTTGTGAGCAATAGTGCAGTACAGTGGTTCGCTTGGCCCGTGGAATTCGCCCACAAGAAAGGACACTGAGTGAACCTCTAACCAGATTTCCATGGTCTCAGTTCCAGAAGCAGGAAATAGTGTAATGATGCAGGTGCTATATACAGTGTTCTCCAAAAAGATCGCAACATAGCAGAGCGGTTGTGTATATACAAGGCAGGGGAATGATTCGAAACAATATTGGGTAACCGACATCGTCACGCAAAAGGCAATAACAACTCGTACGTTGTAGACATCGCACATGTAAAGCAACATCCAATCATGATTGTACCGAAATTGACACCCCAATCATCAGTTCAATGCATATGGAGGCAGATCAGCCGGAGGGAAGCACCGATCAGTCGCATTTAGATCATTGCCCCACCACGAAGGAAACGACAGATTGGGCAGATTGATAATGAAGATGCAAACCTGCAGCAAGTTAGTTTTAGCACCATCAAGTCAGCGAAGACAACCTACCAAGGTCATGAGCTGCGTTCCACAATCCAGACCGACCCCCGTCAGATAGTTGTACTTTCTCCACCATACCGGGCAATACCGAGGAAGGATGCCCATGAACAGGATGCAGGCCAGGAAAGACATGAAGAAGTTAGCAGTCGGGTACGTCGGAAAAAGTGTGCCCCCATAAAACATCAACGTAGGGTTGAACCAACGTTCCATGTCCCACCGGGGCTTCCACTTTTGCACAAGCCAGGTAAGAAATACAGCCCCGGCACCCACGAGGAAAGAGTAGTACACCCACGGGTAGCGTTCACCGAAGAACTCCTTAGGACCCAGGATGCCCCAAATGATGGAGTTAGAATAGTAAACACGGGTTTGCACAGCATCCCACGCCTCTGAGGTCCGCTGGCCAATCAGGTAAGGCCGTTCCCGGTCAACGATCAATTGCATGAAGCCGTAATTGATGAATGGACCGAGCACGGTGCCCCAGACCTGA